ACTCAGAATCAGCCAGGAGACAAAGCCCTTCTCAGCACCATCCTGACTCTTCCCAACTGAAGTGATAACATATTGGATTCAGATTTTTTAAATGTTGACAACTTTAAATCCAGGCATGATTTTTTTTTCTTTTTTATGGTACTGGGGATAGAACACAGCGCCTTTGTGTGTTTCATTTTTGACAGAAAGTCTCACTAAGTTCCTCAGGTGGGACTGAAACTTGTAATCCTCCTATCTCAGGTACCAAGAGTCCAACCCCGAGCTACCTGCGCTGGCTCAAGCATTTCTCTCAGGTCCCCGTTTCTCATACTCATCCCACTGTCCCTCGGGCTATTTTCAAAAGCAGGTAAAGGAAACAAAGATTTTTTAAATGGAAATGGGATTGAGAGTAGGAGGCAGCAGGAAGATGAGAAGAGAAAGGGAAGAAAAAAGAAGGTGTGGACAGTACATGCAGTCCCCCTCACTGTAAATATTATATTCCACAAAATGTACATAAACATACAGAAATAATTGATGACATGTTGATATGGGACCCAAAATATAAATATTCATTATAGGTTTTGCTTACAGAGGGAAATATAATTACAGGACCCTTTAAATACCAGTTCGCCCAACCATGCTGGAGCTTATGTACAAGCGATACCTGAAAGGGCTGTGCAAGGTGACAGAGGAGAGAACGCCCGCCTGTGCAGCCAGGGGACAACATCGTGGACAACTCTGTATTTTCTACTTTTCTTCCCATGTCCCTGCGGTACTGCTGAATGGCTCACAACCTGGGGAACACCTCAACTAGCACAGGTAAAAAAGCAAAACAAAATAAAAAAACTAACAAACAAAGAAAATCCTGAAAGCCTGTTATCTCTAAGCAATGAATGAAGAAGGTGACAGCACAGTGAGACTTTATATTTTTAAGAGTGACTCTTCCACCCAAGCAAGAGCCACAGAAAGAACCAGGGCCTGCCTGTTACACTGCCGCACGATGCCTCAGCATCCAGGTGCTTCCGGAGAAGACAAATTCAGGAATGTCTTAGATCTGAAAAATTAATGTTAGGAATCTGGGAATTTAATCACTGTCAGAGAATCCAGAGTTTCTCCCTGGGCTTCTGGGCAGGATTGAGGGATCCATCCATCGCCGGCAGAGATGGTGCTGGAGACAGCTCAGTGGAGGGCAGCGACCATCCCTACAGTCCTGTGATAGCGAGAGCCAGCCGCCCACACTCGAAGGTCTGCCCAAGTCACATGTGGGAGGCGCTGAGCCTTTCCCACTGATCTCAGACAGAGGGATCAGTGACAAATCCACACTCTCATGTAGCTCTAGGGACAAGTAGCTTTTCCATGCTCCGGTATTAGGGCATGCTGAACAAGATCACACTTCTGTGCCAGTCTAGAAGTACTGAGGCAAAACTTCATCCTTTACCTGGACAATGTCAGAACAAGCGGCTGAAGTAGGTTTAAACGAGATTCCCTGTAACACAAGACCTGAGATATCCAGGTTTTCTGTTTAAAAGATTTTACTGTTACACCAGGACAAAAAATGACCTCAAATGAAATGGAAAAAAGACAATGAATAAATGCCAGCTTGGATGATAGAAATGTTGCAATTATCTAACATATATTTTAAACTATCCAGCATAATAATAATCTCTAAAATCCAAATAACAAGTGAGAAAGCATCAGTAACAAGGAGAATTTCTTAGCAAAGAAATAGAAGATACAAGGAAGACATGAATGAAATATTTAGAACTATAAAATACAGCATTAGACAAAATTAATAAGTGAGTATAGTAATACCACTAGAGGAACAAAGACAAGCAATATCAAATATGTAATAAGAAATAATTTAACTTGAAGAGCAGCTAAAATACGATTTTTAACATTATAAGAAGAGATACATTATTCTGATTGATTCAATTAGGAAAAAGGTGAAAAAGGGACAGAGCTATAAAAAGTATTTATACATGTAATGGGAGAGTAATTCATAAATGTTGTGAAAGATAGAAGCCCATACATTCAAGAAACAGAAGAAAAACTTAATAGGTTAAACTCAAAAGAGACAAACTTCTAAAACTGAAGACAAAAGAAATCTGGAAATCATCAAGAGAAAAATGATGCATTACCTATGGCAGAAAAGCAATCAGAATGAGAGAAGGGATTTGTCACTGAGTTGAAAGGAAAATGGCCCAACATTTCCAAGTGCTATGAAAAAGGAACTGTGAACACGATACCTTATATTTAGAGCAAATATATTTCAAGAATAAGAGAAATTTTTATCTTCATATGTATCCTAAAAAAGAATGATGAAAGAGAATTATTTAGAAAATGACAACAGAAGAAATTGATGAAAGTTAGGGAGGAATCAGAGCACAATTTTTACTTTCTACAAAAAATACAACTAAACGCAATGAACACAAAATAGCGGTCTCAAGTTTTACAAATTGTGTTTGATAGTTGAAAGAAAAAAATATGTTAAAATCCTAAGTATATAGAGAGGAAGTAATAATTATGACAGTTATAAAAATAAAAGAGAGGCTGGAGAGATGGCTCAGTGGTCTAAGGCACCTACTTAGAACAAGCTTGGCAAAGCATCAGGGACCGCGGTTCAATCCCCCAGCACCACATGCCAGCCAGCCCCGCCCCCTGGTGGGCTAAGCTGGCCACACACACACACCACTCTCTCTCTCTCTCTCTCTCTCTCTCTCTCTCTCTCTCTCTCTCTCTCTCAAATAAATAAAAATAAAAAATAAAAAAATTAAAAAAAAATAAAAAAAATAAAAATAAATAAAAATAAATCACATGAATTTTAAAGTAAGATAATTTATTTTAGGAAGGAGGCATGTGAGAGAGGGCAGGTCTTGCTGTGTATTTCATAGTGACCTTGAACTCACTAGGGAGGTCACAGCCTCAAACTCTCAGAGATCCTCCTGCCTCAACCTCCCCAATGCTGAGATTACGGGCCTACACCACCCAACACTGATAAAAGAAATAAGGTTTAAATATTTCACTCAAACGATAGAACGATGAAATTAGTACATTAGGAAAATGTATTTATTACATGATAACTGAGAATCTACTAACAACATTTATGCAGAATGATGTTATAATATTAAATAAATCAAAATGAAATACTAAAATAATTTAAGAAATACTTAAGATATCTTTATATCTATCTATATCTATATAGCTGAGATAACTGTATTGCTGATTTCTGCTGGTCTATTGAAAGGAGCAGTTAATATTTAATGCTTTTTTCTCGTTTTGAATTTTTTTGTAATTGTTGACCAATGTTCTGTCTGGTAATCTCAACAACTAAATTAAAGACAAAATATGTAAGATAACAACCATTGTTGAATTCCCATCATTTATTTTTATAATTTTGAATTCCTATCATTTTGTTCAGGGAGATTCTGTATCATTTTTAATGTTTTTATTCCTTTTTTAAGCCATTTTTGTGTTCTCTTTAAAAATAAAAGATAATAATAAAAAACACATAAAAGAAAATGTACGGGGGAAAGCTACGCCATGTAAGCATTATTTGTTCTTAAAAAAGTGTTTATGGCCACATTATTAAAACCTTTCAGAGCAAAGGCAATGCTCAGAGATGGAGAATGACATCGTAATAATAATTATATCGACAGGACCACAAAGCAGGACTCAAGAGATGCAACATTTACCCAGCAAGTACTGAGAGAACTCCAAGGGGACAGGGTTCGCAGTACAGCTGGAAACAGTCACGCCTTTGCTTAGCTCCTACCGTGGGTGAGGTACTGAGAAAACAGTGTTCAAAAAAAAAAGAATAATTAAGGAGAGTCACAAGGGGAGAAAACACTCTCTCAGGCTTTCACAGAGAGCACATTGGCCAAGCAATGGCTGTGACTCATCCACATGGCTGCACTGACAAAGGTTCTACAATCTGAGGGGATTTCACTGACCTTCTCAGACCAAAAAGCTACAACTCTTGTTGCAGAGGTCCTGCTTTACCTTGGTCTTAACCATCCAGTAGAAAAGTATGAAGACGAAATATAGGAAGTAAAGCCATGCTGTTATGTTGAGCTGTAGGGGACTCAGGTCAATGATCTCTGACATTGCCAGTTAAACAGAAGCCCCAATGCTATTATTGGCTACTGGACCCTTTTAGAATATTTTGCTGAGTTTACATACCTATAATATTCAAATAACGGAACTTAGAAAAAAAAGGGGATACAGATGAATGTCCATTTTGTATCTGTGTATTCAAAGTGGTTAGGATTGATATATGGTTACATTCTCTTAATGAGTGGAATGATTTGTTCTAATGGTGTTTGTAAATAGGATCTCAAGTCCACATCTTGTACAGCAATTAACCACTAAGAAGAATATACGCAGTGTGTTATTTGTTGAAGCTGTACTTCCGATTTGATTTGAAACTGTCTCATTGCTGTTTATCAATAAAATTTTGAAAAAAAAATTTAAAAAAAGAATAATAAGCACTGGTTCTGACTCATGCTCTATTGGGGAAACCTCAGGCTTTAGCAAGGAAGACATGTTTTAACTAATTAGAAAATAATTTTCCAGAACTACAAATGAGATCAAGGGACCTCCTAGAACCCCGAAGTCGCACCACATTGTTTACCCTGCGCTATGTGAGTCGGCAATGCCTACGCAGGTCCTTGACTTTCAAGTTAGGGACCTAATAGGGTCGCCCTTGCTCCTGTCGCCCTTGCTAAGGATAACAACCAAATCCACAGTCCTTACTTATGCTGCAAGTACTGCCCAACGCTGGGAAATAACTACAGCCAGGAAGTCGGAATTTTGTGTCTTTAATGTATTTGTTTTGCCAGTAATGCTGTCCACCCTGGCTTAGTCTCTAGCCCTGTTGTTCTTTGCTGTGCAATGGTAGGCTAGTAGGCGCTGCAAGAGCTCACGGTACACAATCTCAAGACACGCAGGGGCCGGGGGCAAGAGCGAAATTTACCCCTGACAGTGAACACCACAAGGGTAGGACACAGGAGAGGACTTACCACAGTGTAGATCTGATGCTTCCGTCTCTTCGCCAGGTCAATTATGTTTACTCCATTGTAGTAAAGGTTTTCGATACATCCGTGGAAGTTTTTCTTTAGAAAGGTCCCAGGTTTGCCTGGTACTGGAATTCCTCCAAAACTAAGCTTTATGGTAGGAAAAGAAAATCAGCTCTTAGTAACAAGCACTGAATGAGTAGGAGAAAAGAAGGAGCAAGTGCACTTCAGTGTACTCAATTGTGTGCCAGAGCCAAGTGGTCCAAATAATTATAGATGCCACTTGATTACACATTTAAAAGGATACTGATTATACCATGTAAAAATAACTGTAATTGCTTGCTTCTTCAAGGCTTATTATACAAAACCATTTTTGTTTCCTTTCTGAACCTTTTTAATACTAAATTAAACAATGTTCTTCAGAAAGAGGAATAAAAGAGAAGATAATCCACATCTTTATATTCATCTCTTACACAAGCATCTTATGTAGCCAAACAAAAGCAAAAGGACAGACAAAACATACATCTTCAGGGCTATAAACACTTCGGTTGAAAGCTTGCGTTTTATAAAAAAAAAAAAACTCATACAAAAGTGGTTGCCGAACTGTTATCTAGGAAGATGAAAAATGGGAACTCAGGCACGGATCCCATGCAGTTTCGTAAAGCAAATAAAAATCAGTATGAGGAATCATCCTTGGTGTCCGTAATGACACTTATTGAACATGTATGATGAAGCGAGAAATGAATGTGACATCTAATGAAAGTGCGAGAGTCCTAGTTGGTTGTGAAGTATGGTGTCAGCGATCCAAAGTCGTGCATGTCAAATAGGTGGCAAAAAACAGGCAAAAATATTTATTTATGGTGGGAGTGTCTGGAAAGATTTGGGGGCTTGTTTCCTGTACCATTCTTAACATCAGTCATAATAGAAATGAATTTTAATGCATGTACTATTTAAAAAGTCACCTGTGAGAGATATTTTTATAAGATCAATTGTCCCACCATCATTAAAAGTGTAGCCATTTACTTTCCCGGTTTCCACCACCACGTGCATTGTGCACCTACACTAACTCCCGTCTGAGAGGCACACTACATGGAGGTCCAGGTCCAGCCCCCTGGTATCCACTCACTCAGACAGGCGGGCACGCGCACACAGCGATGCACAAACCGCGCTACGGGCAGAGGCATTCTTTGCACACAAATTATTCTCCTTATATGAAAGTTGATCATACACCCAAAAGACAACATTTACAGGGTTTTTTTTTTTAATCATAGTTTCACATTATTTAAAAAAATCTTTCTTGTTGAACAGTAAAATATAGTAAGTTATTAATCCTGTTGACTGCCTTTCATTTATTACTGCTTTTACATTATTTTTGATCTTCTAAAAAATTATTTATTTATTTGGTATAGGGCCTCACAATGCAGCTCAGATTTCTGGCGATCCTCCTGTCTCAGCCTCCCCGGGGCTGGGATTACTGGTGTACGTCATCATGCCTGGTTTTGGATTGAAACCTGGTCCTTGTGCTTGTGAGACAGGTGCTTAGACTGCTGAGCTATCTCCCCATCCCTGCTTTACATTGTTAATATAATTGATTTGATATTTTAATCAGTTTTACTTTAAAGTGTGATTTCTATGATTTTATTTAAAATAATTTCTTAGAGTCATGGTTGAAGAATCAATATTTAGGGCTGGTGAGATGGCTCAGTGGTCTAAAGCACCTACTTAGAACAAGGTTAGCAAAGCACAGGGACCACGGTTCAATCCCCCAGCACCACAAGCCAGCCAGCCCCGCCC